CATAAAATTTAGAATATCCAATTAAAGGCTAATGTATTTTTCATCATAGCTGAGTTACAAACAGTTCAATAATCTAATTCATCCCTTATAACGTGAATTAAGAGTTCCTTTAAAATGGTGTCACTGCTTAGTGTGAAATTCTCCTGGCTTTCTTGCAAAAACCTTTTCTTTCTTTTTCTTTTCTTTCTTTTTTTTTTTTTTTTTTTTTTTTTTTTTTTTTAGATTTCAAGGTTGGTACCTATGACTTTTATTTTACTCTCTAGAAATGACAAAAAGAAATGAATTATATTTATATATCTTTTAATTTTTATTTGTTATGTTTTATAAACAATATGTGATAATTATTGGTTCTAACAGACTCAGTGAAAAATGAGAATTGGCACATTTTAGCTGCAGGGTGAAAGATGGTTATTAATACACTCAAGCAATGCATTCAATATCTATGCTGCACAGTTTATGTAACATAAATATGAGAAGGAATATACAGTATGCACTACTTAATGTGATTGTGTTTGTCTATAGCTATTTTGATAACATTAAATGCTGAGTAGAAATGACTTTTAAAACAGCAGTAGAATTTAAATAATTTAGCATAAATGTAAGTAGAAATATATAAATGTGCACTTTCATAGCATTTTAATTATAAAAATGAAAAAGTTCTTAACGTTTCTGGAAATTAATTTAACCGATGCTATGGCCCTAATTTTAATACTCAGCATTATTCATAGGAAAAGAAGATGCCAATGTAAAATTTAATTCAGCATAAATGTTTTCAAAGAATTAAAAAATATATCTGCAGACTCCCCCCTGAATAACAGGGACCTATGTCTGATCATTTTTAAAATCGGTACAGTTATTGAAAATTATGTGAAACTTGTTTTTGGAGGGGCTCTTAGTTGAGAGAAATCAAAACCAAAACATTTTGCAACATTTCTTTGTATACAAAAGGACAAGACTTCAGCAATTCAGTAATATTCGAATGATAATATTAACTGTTATCACATTAAGCAGCATCTGCTGCAATGTCATTTTTATTTCTCAGTATTAGTGAAATTTTTTAAGCTACTTATTTAAAATAAACAGCATATAAAAGTGTACCCAAAATTACTTGCATTTAACAACCCCCCCCCAATGGCAGATTGTGAACAGTTACAGTGTAACAGAGTCCATTAATCTATACTAATGCCAGATGTGGTGGTCTCTTTATTATGGAGGCACCTAATAGGTGGGCCACCATTGCCTCATATGAAGGGATGGGCAATTACAAACATGCCTTCTCCGAGATTCGAACCCAGGCCCTTTGGTATCGCAGTCAGGCTAACTACTATACCATCTATGCAGCCCTAACATTGTTATAAACAACCCATTTCTCATCCCCAGTGATGTTGTGCTTAAAAATAGATATTTTCTTGATGTTTGAGAAGCAAATTACAAACATCAATGCGACGGCGTAAATTTCTTTCCGTAAGAACATGAGAAAGCCGTATGTTGAACTTTGAGATTAAAGCTAAGTATTTCAAATGATCATGAACAGTGGAGTTCAATAAATTTAATCTCCCAGCTATCTCACGAGTTGTTATTCGCTGGTTTGTGTCAATTAATGCCTTTATTGTGTCTTCATCAGCTTTAACTGGCCTTCCAGAATACGGTGCATCTTCAAGGTCAAAATTTCTCGATCAAAATTTTGCAAACCAGTTTTGGCAGCAGTGTTCTGTCAAGTACATCTTCTTCATACACATCGGATAATATTTTTACTGCTTAAACTGCATTTTTACCTTTTCGATAGTAAAAAATAAAATATGTCGAAAAGGCTGCTTTTCACTTTCCGTATTTGAAGGGATACCAACCAAAAACTACCGCAATTGAACTTCTTCACAAGCAATCCTTGCTATATCAGCTGTCAAAATATATAATGATTGTATGGCTTAATTGTGAAGTTTCTGTGAAAAAATACAAGTCCTCTGTTGGGAAAAAGCGAAATTACTTTCCAAACAACCCAAAAGAACATACAGCACATCAAATATACATAGAGCACCACAGAGAACACACAAATTATTGAACCATATCCAAAATACGCATTTCAGGAGACCACAAACTGATTGCTTTTCTGACATACTGTTTCATATTATGGCCATTTTCATAAATTTTTTTGGACAGTAAATTATGTTTATTTTGGATAAAAGGCTGCAATATCTTTTCCCATCAATGAAAGATTGAAAATGGTGAACATAATTAAACATCTGGCAGTGAAAAACTGAAAAGCATAAAAGCTAAATGCATATGTGAAATCTAAACTACATGTGCACATGCAGATCAGTAACCATCTGTTTCTTGGCAAAGCTAAAAGCACATATTCCTGTTTGTTGCAAAGACCACTTTTATCACCTTGCTACAAAACTCTGAAAATATTAACAAACTTTAGCTTTGAGCAATGCACATTATGAATCTTCTACTGTATTTGTTTAAAGAGATAAGTAACTTTTAATAGGAAATTACAATTTAAATTATCAGTTTACAATGATATTGTTACTAAGGCTTTGACCAGTCCAGAAGTAAACTTTTTGCAGAAATATTCATGTTTTAAACACTTTAAATTTACCAATTAATGATGACTGACAAGTTATCACCAAGTTATAACTTTGTTCTCACCAGAATTATTCAAAGGTACATTTCTAGCAAAGTGCTTGTTTTTTCACAGAAAATGATTTGATGTAAGATCTGGCTAATTCCAAAATAAAATTCATAATATTAGTATAATTTCATAGGTTAGTTTTGGATGAGTTAGATGCTTTTGAAGTTAAAGTTCTTTGTTCGCAGTAAGTTTGCTTTTTCCATTATGATAAATCATTTATGAATCATCGAACATCCATGCAAGGTATTTAAAGACTCAAATTTTTTCTGTTGCAACTCATTTCAGGAAATGCTGTATCATATTATGAAATAGTGTTGTCTCCTTATGAAAATTGCTAACCTTGGGCATTTTAAAATTAGGATGTTTAATAAAACAAAAAAGTTACTTTTTTACTTCCTTGTATGAAGTAAAGGAAGTATTGTAATGGTGAAAACTTCGGCTCAGGCAAAACAGAGTTTGTGATGCAGGTATCGCGTAGAACTTTTGTAGCCAATTTTTGAATATATATGGTTCATAATGAAGAAAATAAAGGTAGAAGTCTTGTCTGGAGGATAAGCAATGGATAGCATACATTCATAGCAGGTACAGAAGCATCAATAGATGAATAGCCGACAGAGACTAAGCTAGGCTGAGCTACCAAGTAGCCTAGAAGGTCGAGGTGGACTATGAGTGAAGGTAAGTGTGCATAAGGTGGTGAAAAAGAAATGCCATTTATCACAAAACCATTTCATGCAATCAAATTGTTGGCACAGGTTGGAAAGTTCACTAATAGCAGAAGTATTTGATTACAATAGTTCAGAAGGTGCAAGTGGCCAAACAAAATAGATACAAAAAATAAATATGAAATTACCATACATATACATATAAAAAATTTTTTTTGGTTAGTTTAGCTTTTTATCCTTTTTTTTTGGTGTATTATTTATATCTTTTGTAGGGTATATTATAAACACAAACATAAAAATTCACACACAAATACAAATGCAATAAAATATAGGTAGGACTTTGGAAGCTAGGTAAGATACCTTAGTACTGCTAAAGGCCTTTTTCTATTTTCATGACTGTTATAGTCATAATTAGGAACTGCAGTAGAAAGATTTTGAATTGTAGGTAAGTTGTTGAAGAATTTTTTGGCTAATTCAGCTATGTAAGCTTGTAGTTCAGGTGTTTTAAATTCACAATGAACTGCCAAGTTTCTAATAAACCAGCGACAATTCACTACTTCATGAAATTGATTTAAAATGGATTCGAAAGGGATATTTTGTATCTATGTGCAAACATTTTGAACAGCTTGCATTCTGTTTACAGAAGTAAATGCAGGCATAGACGCAGGCAGAACCATAATCGAGCATGGGACACAAAATTGTCTCGTAAATCAGTAATTTATTGTCAACAGATAAAACACTGTTCTGAGCAATTAACAGGGCAAGTGTATGTTTACGTACCCAGAACTTTGATAAAATATGTGTAATATGTGGGGATCAGGTGAGCTAATGATCTAGGATAATGCCTAGGTAGTGGGTCTGCTTAGTCCAGGGAATAAATGTGCCAAACATTTGAAATTGCAGGTCTCTGTCTATTTTCCTTTTTTTTCTTTTTCTTTTGTGAAGAGGATGGCATCAGATTTTCGAACATTAATTGCAATCTTCCAGGCCGTTAGTCAGGATTCCAGTGAATGAATGTGGCCTTGTAGTGATTTTATGACTCAGCTAAGCGATGCATTTTGTGAGAGAATTGCAGTATCATCTGCATAGAGTGCAAGATTGGTATGTGGTGTTTGTGGGATGTCGTTCATGTGAAAAACTTCAGGTATAATATTTCAATGAAATATCTATTTTGACTATTTTTTTGCGTGACATGTATGTGCAGACAGAATAAAGAACTCTTTTTTTTGTAAAATGGATTCAAAAAGTTTTTTTTTTTTTTTCGACATATGTATGTGCAGACAGAATTAAGAATTCTTTATTTGTAAAATGGATTTAAAATGGATTCAAAAGGGATTTTTTTTTAGACATCTGTACACGTGTATGTATCTCACACAACTCAAAATGATTAGTCAATGAACATTGAAATTTTGTATATGGGACTGCTGTAACATATAGTTCTGCACCTCCCTTTGTCATTACAGTCAATAGTGCCAAATAATATATATATATATATGTGTGTGTATGTGTAATAAAAACTGTGATGAAAACAAATTTTTAGAAGTTCTGATATAGGACACTGGATGTAAAAATGCAGAAATACTGATTATGCAGATACTCGACAGCCAAAAACATAATAGATCCATACCAAAGAGATCCCTGATTGCATAGAATGCTAATCCATAATGAATAAGAAACCTGGCAGTTGAGGCAAATTGCATTTCATTTGTATTTAAATTGACATTTGTGGCCACAATCACTTGGCACTCTAATTTGTGCCTCTTTCCAAAACATTTACATTTTTTTAATACTATTGCAATAGGAAGAAAGCACATTGAAATGAAATTATGTCCAGGCAACAGGAGAGATACAAGCAAAGTATGCCTTTATCCAATATGGCATCTCCATGAAGAAAGAAGATTTTGGTTTGTGTTAGAAAGTTTTCAGAGTTTACATTCCAAAATTAACTACGTCATCAGTATTATGCAAGCCCTAACATAGATTTATCTAGAAATAGCCACCCCAGAAATGTTGTTAATTTTTTTGATTGTGCCTATTTCAAGAACATTTACTATTTTTAATACTATTGCAATAGGAAGAAAGCACAGTGAAATGAAATGGCATCCAAGCAGCAACAGAGATACAAGTGAAGTATGCCTTTAATGCAATATGGCAGCTCACCAAAGAAGGAAGGTTTTAGTTTACGTTAGAAAGGTTTCAGTTCTCAGAGTTTAGGTTCCAAATTAACTATGTCATCAGCATTATATAAGCTCTAGCATAGATTTATCTAGAAATGACGCAGTCAAAAAATGTTTTTTAGAATGAAGAGAAAATACGCAGATTAAAAATGATGAATTATGAGGTTATTATTAAATTAAATTATAAAGCTGATTTGCATATTTTTTATCTTACACACACTTTAATATATACATAATATATACATACATACCCACCCCTGTTTGTCTGGCTTTAAAGTCTTTACCTGGCCTTTATGTTTGCAATCATTAGTCCTAGTCATATACTTCTAATTATAGAAGTATTTTAATTGATGAAAATATTCATGTTTTGGCAATGTCAGTTTTTTGTAAAATTAACTTTTGACAAATAATGAAATCTAACTTTTAATGTATTCTTTATTTGTTATTTTATTATTTTTGTTAGACTTATTTTTATATATTTATTTATTATTAAAGCAAATAAATAAATAATCAGTTTTCAAGTTATAAAATTTTGTCAGCCTTTGCTTTATAAAAAAAAATCATTATTAAAAGAATTATAATTATCTCTGTTAAACAAAAGGTTTAAACAGCAGCAAGACAAAAATTATAAATTTTACTTCTTTATTTATTTTATACATTTATTGTATGTAAAATGACATATATATGTAAGATATAACAAAATATGATAGCTGTTTCAAAAAAATAATTGGCAACCTCATTCTAAATTTGGTGATCTGCCCCTAAATTCACCTCTTCTCACAGGTTTCAGATTTTTCTATCTTACGTAACATTTTAATGCAAATACCTCTTGTCCAATCAAATTAATTGTAAACCAAAACTCTGAACTGAAACTTTTCTGACTCTCACCCTTCTTCCTCTGAAGTGCTATGATACTTTCCCCTTTTTCACATAGCTCTCCTGCTAGCAAGACACATTTAAACCATGCTGCTGCTTACTTAAGATGACATTCTAATTCAAAATGCAATGCATGTATTCAAATATAATTAGAAAACATCTTCTCTGAAAAAGGATGATTTGATATGTGTGAAAAAAATAAAGATTGTGATTTTTTAAGATATGTTGTGCTAAATTGCATCATCATGCTTTACACTCTGCCACTACGGTCTTCTCGGTCGTCTACGCAGTATCGTAAGCTCTTAAAAGTTCCAGTGCTTTCATCTACACATTTGGAATCATTATGTATACATATTTAAAATTTGTTTTATTTCCTACGTGTGATTAAAGTAGAAGTTAAAAACTTTTAAACTGGAGTGTTTATCAAGTTTGTCTTATAACATTTGGAGTTTAAAAAATCAAAATTACAATTTCTGCCACTGTTGGCCTTGAAATAAGTTTGGGGTGGGTAAAGTTATATTCATTACTTGTTAAAATAAGAACTTGCAAATTTCTATGGAAACTTGACAAATTAGTTAATTTTTACCATGAAACAAAAAACTGTCTTGTCCAATGCGAAACTGGCCTTGAAGCAATAGTGATATGAACTCTGAAATGTACTTTTAGATATTTTCAGAATTCTTGGAATCCACAAAATAATAACTAGAAATCTGTTATCTAGTGCACTTTTTTTTTCTTTAAATTTTAGCTTGTAATTGCTGAAGTGTGATTTGAGAGTCTGTGAGTGCTTTTTCACTGATTCATCAGAGTGATGAGTTTCTTTTTTCATAAAAATTTTATTTCAGGCATCCAGATGTAAATGATAGGTACCAAATTTTAAAAGTGAATGTTTTTGCTAAATACTGATAAGATTTTAGATTTTAGTAATTTTAATTATCCTTATTTTAATTTTTAGAATCAGATGTGAGAGAGCTGGATGATAGTAATAGTCCACAAATTTGGGTATTTGCTGCATTAATAGCCATAGGTGCACTTCTTCTATGTTTAGCATTGCTGCTTTTTATGTATCGACGTCACAAAATGGAACAGCGGAGAATCAGATTACTTGCCAGTAAGCCAGATAATGTTTTCTTTAAGAAGAAGGTGGTTTTAATACACGAGGTAAATCACAATAATTTTTGCTACTCATTTTTATTTTGTTATTTCTAAGTACAACATTTATTTATCATAATTCCTCGAATAATCCCCTCCCCCTTTCTTACTAATTTTATAGTCTGAAAATTGAGAGCAGAAAATTATGTGAATAATTTAATTTCTAAAGGATGTAGTTATGGTAAGAATGTAACAAATGAAATGTAATCATGGATAAACTATAGATAACTAGTTAACACAATATTACATCTTTAAAAGTTGAGTTCTATTAGTTGATTCAGTACATGTTGTGTAAGATTCTACACATGGGACTTTTAAAAACTAAAACTTTTTGTAGAATCTCTGCATGTATCTTTATGAAATACACTGGTTATCATAAATTAAGGAAAAATCACAAAAATAGCGATAACTCCCTCAAAAATAAGCCAAACCGTGTAAAATTTGAATATGTTGCCAAGTAAGAGTAGCTGAGTAAAACTGCGATATGCAAATAAGTGGCGCTGCTTTCGGAATACCTCATCTGTGAGGAGCATAAAAGTCCATGTTTGAGAGCAAGTCCACATATTTCACTGTGACAGTGACATTAGAAATCTCAGATAGCCAATTCGTAACAATGACCTCCAGGCATCATTTGCCTGCAGAACCGCGATGGAGAGCCATTGGGAGACTAGAGGCAGGACAAAGTCAAGCCATCTGGCCACTTCTGTTTGACTGCCACTTCTGTCTGAGTGTGTGTCCACAAGTGTGACTTTTTCGTTTACCATTTTTCTGTCTTTCCCTTTCTGAAATATATTACTGAAGATGCTGATGTCACTGCTAGCACTGTAAATAAAATATAAAGTAGGCAACCCATGTCTTAAAGCTCATTCACCTTATAATACCTGAAACTAACATCAAAACAGTTCACAGAATGCAAATCATAAAATTAGATCATAATATTAAAACTTATAACATCCTATGAATTGTATTATTGGAATCTTAAAATTCACAATTTTAAATGTATAAAAATATGTACATCATAGCTATTTTCAAAAATAAAAGTTTTAAAACTTAGAATTCCATTTTAAATTGTTTTCCAAACCACTGCCATCAAATCTTCAAAACAAAGAATAATTAAATGAAACATTTTAATATTTTCCAGTGTTTTCAAATAGTAATTTAGTGTTTTTATTTGTCAACAGTTCGTATAAACTTTCATGAATATATGTGTCAGAAGATACAGAGAAAATAAACTAAAAATTTCGAGCCTATTTTAGGAACTAATGACAATTTTTCCAGGTGAATTTATGCAAAGAAAATACAGATAGCTACATCAACTAAATTATTTCAGCAATTTGCATCCCAAATATAAATAGTATAGTAAGTATAAAAAAAGTGTGGCAACACTTAACATTCTGTAAATGTGAGCCATGATCAGCTGACAGCATCTACGATGCTCATATTTTTTTTCCTATTCACCTTTTCTAATATAAGGGATACTAAAGAAATTTAGCATTGGATTTTTTTACAGAATTAATTTTCATTGGGGTATTTTTCTGTTATTTTAGAATAGGGAATTCAAGGCCATTTAACTCCCTCCCCTAACCGTGTCTCAGAACCATGGTAATAATAGCTACAGAAAAAATAGCAATTCCTCTACTTTGCAAATATCGCCTAATTCCCTTTGTGCAGTGAAAATGATGCACATCATGATCTTAGATGAGAGGAAGGATGCTACAACCTTGAAGTGCATGCTTTAAAGTAACAAATTAAAGCAGTGTTCTACCAATGTGGCATCATTTATTTAATCATTGCTGGATAAAATTTAGGGTTTACGATTTTTTCTAAAGAAAAATTTTTAGGCTTTTTTGTTATTATGATGATTCTTTTTACTATTTGATAGGAGTAGTCATACGTTGTTGTGTATGATTATATAGCAGTGTGTGATTTTACTGTAATATCAAACTATGTTGGCACTATTAGAAATAATCTTTATTTTATTTTTATGGTGGTGTATCTGCCAAAGCAATGCTGTAAATATACACTCTATGTTCCTTAATATTCATGTGTAGCTCTTTTTGTTTTTTGCTGAATGGCAACAGTTAGTTAGTCAAGTAAATAAACATGTAATGTACATTTGTGGTATGCTTATTTCTTTCTACTATATTTCAAAATATATCTGCCACTTAAGTGATTTCTATCACGTTATCAAAACGATACGCTGTAGAGAACTTTATATGGCAGAAATGAAGAAGAAATTTTGATTTTTTTCTGAAAGAAGCAACATCCAGAGCACCAGCGAAGCTAAGCCTAACACGTTGAAAGCGATCCAATGGAAGAAATTAAAATTCAGAAACTCAACGGAGATAATTACAATGCTTGGAAAATCCGAGCATGAGCTGTTTTAGTTCAAAAAAATTGTTGGGAAGCTGTTGATCCAGGTTATGGTGCTGAATTAAAGAATGACGAAAAGAAAATTAATGAGAAAGCCTTAACCTTTCTATTCTTAGTGGTAGTTCTTAGATGACATCACTGACTGTGAAAGAGCGAAAGAAGCATGGGATACTTTAAAAGCCATCCATACAAAATTCGGTGAAATCACAAGTTGAGAAAGCCAGTTCTGAAAAAATTGAAGTTTCTGGCATGGGAGACATTGTTTTCAATCCTGTCAGAGAATGTGGGAAAGATGCTATTCATCTAGCAAATGTTCTGTATGTCCCTAAGCTTGATGGTAACCTTCTTTCAGTGGGAAATAATAGAAGAAATGGGAATGACTGTTTACTTTGAGAGGGGCAAAGCAATTATAAAAAGATCCAAGACAAGATAAGGTCATTCTCACTGCACATAGGTATGGAAGATTATACAAAGTTCAAGAGAAGCAAATGCACAAAATATACCTTTTCACATCGAAGATTATTACATTTCCACCATGATGCAGTTAAGAAACTTATGAAAAGGGATGATTTGAATGTGACGCGTGAAGAAATCCAAGAAAAGGAGACTGCTTAATACGGTCAAAAGTCGTTAATCCGGACTCGTCGGGACCTCGGCGATTCCGGATTATCGATTTTTCCGGATTATAGATCATCAGTTTAAATCTCGTAAGATGGCATGCAGAAATTCTAAAATTAAAAATATGAAACCGTTAATTATGAAATAAAAGAACAATTATGATCTAAAGGGTACAAAATTTACAAAAAAAAAGCTTAATATTTATTTGTTTACTTTATTAAACATTTCTATCAATGTTAGTTGTTTAAGTTGTTTCGTTTTATGTGATAATACTTTCTCTTTAATTCTATAAACAGACATAATTTCTTGTTCAGTTACAAAGTTCCGCTGTTCAAGTCCTATAATTGCGGTGTCGAGAATATCGACTAATTTGTCAATCGAAATTGTTTCGTTTTCGGTAACATCTGTGTCACTTTCTTCACTATCGGAAGTGATATTTTCTGGATCTAGAACCATACTACATATTTCGCTGTCCGTTAATTGATTGATGATTGGTGCATTGTCGTCGCAATGAAAAACTTCTCTTATATCATCTTCATTTATTACCGCTTCTCCACATTTCTTTACAAAATCCAATAACTGAAAAATTTCACCTTTAGTTTGCGATGTCCGAAAACCTTCAAATTCGCCGCTATCATCTTCATCCTCCTCACCATGAAATATGGTAGATGGCCATAAATTATGCCAAGCTTTTTTAACGTACTTGAAGACACATCTTCCCACGATCTTGCGATGCTCCACACGGCAGATTTTATGCTAAAAAATTTCAAAATTCTTGAATAGTCTTGCCACTGTTCAAGAAATTTAACATAGATTTTAAAAATGCTGTTTTATATTTGCATTTCAGCGCGTGCACTATTCCCATATCCATAGGCTGAATGATAGACGTACAATTTGGAGGGAAGAATAACACAGATACATTATCTTTCACTAAAACTTTAAGTGAAGTATGCGCCGAACAGTTATCAACAATCAGAACTATTTTTGAGTTATCAGGTAAACCAACTGAATTCAAATGTCGCCGAGCCTCGGGTATAAAATGATTTTCAAACCAATCATTCATCAACACTTGTGTCATCCATGCTCTTTTATTTGCGCGATATATAACAGGGAAAATCGTTACTCCTTTAAACGGTCGAGGTCGTGCATGTTTTCCGATTACGAAAAGTTTGCACTTGTGCGTTCCTGCAGCATTTGCGCAGGCTAAAATTGTTAGTCTCACTTTGGAATCTTTGACACCAGTTGGAGCCTTTTCTGTACAGGTTGCCAAGGTATTTCGCGGTACATATTGCCAGAAAAGACCAGTTTCATCAGCATTGTAAATTTGTTCTGCACATAATTGTTCACTAGTAATGAATTCGATGAATTTATCTGCAAATTGTTCAGCAGCTTCAGTATCAGCTGAAGATTTTTCACCAGAAATTTTTAATTGTCTTATACCATGGCGATTTTTAAATTTTGTTAACCAACCTGTTGAATATGTGCACTCTCCATTTAAGTTCATTTCTTCATGAAATATTTTGGCTTGAGCCATTACCATTGGACCCGTCAATGGCACGCCCTCGCTGCGACGCTGTCTGACCCATTCAATCATCACTCTGTCATGATCGTCACTTTTAGCATAACGAACCCTTTTTCTGTTACTCATTGCAAGTGGTGTGTCGGAATCCACAAAAAAATCAAAAAGTTCCTTTTTCTTTTTGCTTATGTCATATACAGTTGACTTTCCAATGTTATATTCCTTGCATAACTTTGAGACAGGTATGCCTTTATCTAATTTTTGCAGCAATTCCACTTTTTGTTTGATGGACATGGAAACATACTTTCGTTTTGTAGATCCTTTGGAAATTCCAGCATCGGAAATTCTATTTGACATAATCGAAAGTTCAAGTTTACTTTTATAAAATTGCACTAACAGTCTGCTAAAAGTAATAAGCGGGATCCAATTCGAAAATAAAGAAACAACACAATCATTAACATTAACTGAAATAGATAATTAGATCATTTTAACTTACACC